ATTAAAAAAAAGTAAAAATTTGCATAATAATAAAAAGATTCCGAAGCCTGCCGGCTTTGGAACTTCACTGTTGAGGTAATCAGTCGGGAATCCAAAGGTTGTTTCCTCTCTTGAAAACCAACAAAAAACGAAGAAGAGCAACAAAAAGGCCTCCCCAACCCCACCCATGTGCAGGATTGGTTCCAGCAATCCTATTGGATCTTCGTCTGATGTGACTCTAACACATGGTTTGGTTTTTGAGAGGAATAAAATTAATGTCATTTTGGAACCTTCCTTTGGAATTTGGACAGAAATTGATTTTGGCTTTATTTATGCTCCATACAAATCCAATTACCTACATATCTTAGTATTCCAATTCCGTCACCATGGAATCTGGATTCATTTCCTCCTCACGCCAAATTGGATTGTACCTACCTTAACCACACAATGGGATGGTGCTGGTTTGGGAAGTACAAGTGGGAAATTGGGTTTGTAGCAATTGGAAATATCTTTCTACCAAAAAAAAAAAAAGCAATTGGAAATATCTAGTATTGTACTTTTTTTGAACATAGTTTCCCATTAAAGCCAGATAAGAAAAGAGAGATACTTTCGGGACCTAGGGGCACGCGGAGGGGTCATTCCTTTTCCGGGTTTTGAATCAAGAAATTTCCTAAGTGCGTATAAAAGTAGCTAAAAGAGTACAGTAGCTAGTTCGCCCCCACAGACAAATCACAAATGGATCCAGCTTCCTAATTGTACCGACTTCTTAGACTACTAGCTACCGGTTCAAATTTTCAAAAAGTAGGAGGAACCAAGTGACTCAACTAACCAAATTGTTTAGATAAATAAGTCCGGTGCTCAGACATTACAACAAATGTATAATTGATGTGTGGAAAATTGTTTTTTAAAAAAAGATGAGTATCTTTTCTCATATGCAATTTGTAATCTAGCAACATATAAAAGACTGAGGAAATTTGATCTTTGTAAGATAGATGATCACATTTATGTTATTTTTGTTGGGAACACATACATCTCAGCCAAAACCTGAGTTAAATAATTGTTTCCCTTATTGTATAGATAATTGAACACGAATTGGACATCAATCTATCGATATTCCCCTTGTCTGTGAAAAGAAGCATAACGGGCAAAAAATGAAAAATTGAAAATGGTATAAAACATATTCCAAAATGTAAACTATATCCAGATTCATTCAAGTTCAACTGTAAGTTACCACATATACATTAATATATCAATATTATAAGTTAAGATACACTTACACATTTCACTTATTTTTTTTATTATAAATAATTAAAATTTTATATAAATAATGTATATAATAATTATATGTAAAGAAATCTTTACTTTTTTTACTCCAAAAAAAAAAATCTTTACTGTAGTATCATACAGGATGCGGGCTACAACCTTCTGCAGCCGCCTCAGCCCGTTCCCTTAACCCTAACTAACTTCACACAACAAAACAAACCCACCAATCCAGAAAAGTTAGAAACACTTCTTCTTTCTTCCCCTAACTTAAACTTAATTTATCATTACAATATATCGTTGATAAAAAAAAAAAAAAAAAATCATTACAATCACTCACATTCCCTCAAACAAATATATTTTGGCCCCATTTTTAGATGTGATATATATATATATTTGTGGGTTAATTAGGACATTGATGTCCAATTTATCATCAAACTCTGAAGTTCTTCCCGCTGAATGTTTGCCCGAACTGCCAATTGGCGGGAACGATGTTCCAGGAGGTGGAAGTGCGTCTGTCACTGCCTGTCACCCTGAACGAGAGTGACTGACCAACCAGAACCGCGTTTGATTGCCAGTTCTGACCCCAGTTCCTGCTCAAGCTCATCCACCCAGTCTTCGCCCCCTTCACGCTCGCCCTCACGATATCTCCTGCACCCGCGACGTTCGTGATCAAAACCAAGTTGAAGTAACGGAAACCGTTAATTGTGAACCTTATCCCTCCCTGCTTCCTGCATGGGACCCTGCGTAAATAAAATCAACCATAAGGTCAATCCCGTCATTTTGATTCCGGGTAGTATTATTAGCGTGGAACGCGGAGCACGATTGTCGAAAACCACTCAAAAAAATCAACGGTACGTCAAAACTTGTCTTTGTTGCTGTTTTTCTAACATTGGAAAAAGGGTCTAGGACTTCGTAGACCGTGTTGCGTTGGATTTTGCCACATGGAAAACAGCCCATCAATGAGAATGGGTCACCGTTTGATGTGATGGTCCTAATACTGATTAACTGCTTAAATACTAAACAAATCCATGAAAACAGAGCAAGAAACATAGTGTAGGGAGAGACTTACCGGCGGTAGGCAACGGGAACGATGCCGGCTCGGTACTCGGCAATTTTGAGGAACATGGGCATCGCAAGATCGAAGTGTGAGCGGGGTGGGTTACACCAGCCGCCATTGTCATTGGGGAGAGCGTAATTCGGTGGGCAGAAGTTAGTTGCGGTTACGAAGATGGATGGGCTGCCGGAGTGGCACCACTGCTTTTCATTGGCACACTTGAGTTCAAAGCACGCACCACAGCTAAGGCCATTGTTGAAAAGTGCGGTGCTTAGTGCCGCCGTATTCACTCCGTATCCCTGACTGTAAAGATTTCCATATCCACAAGCTCCTCCTGTAAGATGGATTACAGAGGAAAATTAATTAATGATGACTTCTAAGGTAATAGGTTACTGTAAAAGTTAGAACTTGACCAATTTTAATTTGTCTAAAAGCTAATTTTAGATTTTATTTGTTGGGAAGTTAAAGTTAAAACCACTATAAATTTGCAAGTAAATCTTCAAAAGTTCACTTACAAACTAGTAAAAATTTGAAGTGAACTGTTTAAGATTCCTTACCCATAAAAAAGAAAAATACTTTTTAAAATTAATAAAATTTACTAATTTGCATAACCACTTTTTGGAAAAGTTGTAATCAAAATATTCCGGGGGTTGTTGACTATTTAATGTAGAATGGCCATTGGGCTTCCTAAAATGACGAGGAATTTAGGATTTTAAAGTGGGATTTTTGTTTTTGTTTTTTTTTATTTGCAAAACTTGAGATTTGGAGGAGTCAATGAGAGAAATGAGACCCAAATTGCTGACTTTCTACCTAATTCTGGCAAAATGGGTAATTCAGTGGAGAAATTGAGGTGGCTAGAAACTCTAAAAAGGAACAAACTTTCACTACTACATTATTCCCATAAACCCAGAAAACAAGAAATTTCAGGGGGAAATGAGACAATGAGGAGGAAGAAACCACATACCCATGGTGCCAGAAGCATCGGATCCTCCATAGAAGGTAGCATGAGCACTCTGCCATGCACCTTCTGTGTAAACCCCAGGGATCCTAGCTTCAGCCATACACATTAGAGAAATAAGAGACACAATGCAGATTAAATAAACATCAGCCATTTTCTCTCTGCAATAGAGAAACAAAGAAAGCAGAGGCTAATCTTTGAAGGGAATGGATGGAGGGAGGGAAGGAGGGATGGGATGCTGGGGTACTTAAGGAGGAGGAAACGAGTAGCGTAGCCTGGTGGGGCCAATCGCCAATTCATGAAATTACTTATTTCAAACCAATCCATCATGAATGTTCCTTCCGTGTAAACTATAAACCAGTTTTTTTATCTTTTCAATCTAAAAAATATAAAAATAAAAAGTATTACTCGGTGAAGCCCACTCTCTGTATCGTACCGTACAGTACACGTTCCAATTGGACTAAAGATTGTACGGATGAGTATGGTGCCCTGTAAGAGCCTACAGATTCGAGATCTTCCCTTGTGTGCTTTTGACGGTCAGCCCAGCGGAGTACTACTCCTACAAAAGTATGGTAAATAGTCAAAATATTGGTACTGGTTGGCAATGTACGTACAGAAAATAAGATAAAGAAAAAGGGTTTTATAATTCAAATTACAGCTAACGATATGATAATGATATAAATATAAATACTAATGAAGATGAATTATCTAATAATTAACTTATTTAATTAATTTAAGGGAACTGTATGAAAATAAAGAGGTGATAAAATTAAATTAAATTGTTTGATTAATAAAATAATTTAATTAATTAATTAATTTTTTATATTAAAGATTTTTTATTTAAAAATTTTTATTTTACATGTTATTATAATTTAAATTATAAAATAAAAAATTCACAATAAAACGCAGAGTAGATAATTAATTGAGTTCAAACTATAATATACATTTTTAATTGAAATAAATAAATAAATATGAATTTTTTATTTTATAATTTAAATTATATTAAGAGAAAAATACG